AGTAGAATACAGAAAAACTGATTCTTTTTCAAGCAGTTAAAATCTCTATAATATGAGTAAATGAGGAATATTCCCCACAATATTATTGCCATTTTCATTTGTTTATTTTTTACTTTGAAATATACTTATACCAACAATTAATATTTGATCTAGAACACATCCATGGATTATTTCTGATGTCCGTGATAATGATTATGCGTGTATACACATACATGTAAATTCTTATGGATATATATTTTGGGGGGTTAATCTTGAGAATTAATATATAATTTAATCAAACAGTTTAAATGAAGGATTTGCTAATGATTGTAAAAGAGTATTGTACATATGATGCGTATATGCTTTCTGTCACTTTTTTTTTTAGGAGTTATTTGAAGTGTAATATTAAAAGTGTTGTGTACAGCTACCACAATGGATTACAAAGCAGATCAATCCTTTATCATAAATATAAAAAAAAATTGTCAAGGATGTTGCAAATTGAGAGGAAAGAATCTGTGTTATCTGGGTAGAAGGGTATATGTTATGCAATTGAAAAAGAAATCAGGAAAAGGAGTTAAAATACTTTTTATTGAAGCAGCGTTCAGGGGCATGTTTACATGCCATACTGTGAGAAGTAACTAGCATTGCATAGACCTAATCATTTCCTAATCCACACATATGTTCTGCAATGCTTTCACTTCTGCAAACTAATTATAACACCTGGGGAGAGATAAACAGAACTATTGCCTAACTGTTTGTTTGACTGAAGACCCATATAAATTCCCTTTTATGCTCAACTGAACAGATCAAATAGTAAAATTTATCTTTTGTGTGTTATTATGTGTGTTCTTTTAAGAAAGTTAGAATGTCTACTGAAAACCCTGACTGACAACTTGGAAAATAATATTTCCAACTTTAAATGTGATATTAAAGTTTCCTTAGTTCCTTGATAAAATGTTCTTACCTCATGATATTTTCATAATTGAAAATAATTTGTTGTCACATAAAAACTTGGCGTACTTGTTTGTGTTTTGGTTCGGTCTTTTTGCTTCAATGGATGTAGTTAAAGCTCAGCATTAAAATTGTCTTAAGTTATCAGCACTGTTCACATAGATGGATTATTAACAAAATATGTGCATTTTTTAGACAAAAGTGAGAAAATTGTAGGAAATACCAACCCCATGCAAATGAGACTGATTAGCTCTTGGTAATGTAATACTTGGCTTAGCATTGATCATTTGCTTTGTGCTCAGTTCTAAGCACCGTTCATTTGTCAGCAAGGTTATATAATGCTATCCCATTCAGAGGTAAGTTAATTATGTATAATGTTAGATGAAGTATATGGTAACAGTTTCCACTCTTGACACCAGATACTTAATCATGCGTGACATTAGATGAGATGAGGTAATTAAGGCTCCGTCTTTTATTTGAAGCGTGAGATGAAGTTAAAAAGGAAATTGAAATGCGTCTTTCAACAGAATTTCTGAATATAGTGCTGGTACTCTAATATGTGAATGCATTTCACATCATTGACGCGTGGCAAATATTTTTCCAGCTATAATTGATATTCTGTTATGTGAGCACAGGTTATTAGAACCGATTCCCCTTTAGGTGTATTAACAACATAAGCAGAATAATATTGTATGCAAATAGAAGTGGGGGCTGGCCTGCTGCACAAAGGACAAGCCAAATATGTGTGATGTGGCCTAAACTTCCTGGACAATTACACTCATGTCCTTTAAAATGTTTTCTGGATTCAATTAGTTAAACAGCCATGTGGCTTTAGCTGAATCAACACTGAGTGAACATTTGTCAAACACGTTACGGCATCTAATAGATTGATTGGAGCACACATCAATGTAGGGGAAAGGGTATCATTTCGACCAACACGTTCCTCTTTGCAAATCCAATATTTATTGATTACTTGTGTTTTGGGCAGTCAAAAGTGGCTTGGTTTTATGTCAGTAGATGTTGGACCAGATCCCAAGCAAAGTGTAAGCTGGCATAATGAATGTTTAAAGCAAAGGCCAGTCATTTATTGACAATCTAGGATAGAGTTGTCATTTGATAGGCTGCCTGCTGAGCACACTCATTGCCAGAGCTAAGTGAGAGAGGGAAAAGAGAGCACACACACCGTGACACACTCTCTCACTCAACCACTTACTTCTCATTATTCAACTATCTCAGTACTATACCGCCTGCAGCATCTCTCAGATGAACTTTCTTTTCACTGGCCTCAAGGTGTTCAGGGCCTGATTGTCCTTTGTATTGACCCATGGTTTGGTGCTGGATTCATTAATGGAATTATCCAGTTTGTCCAATTGGATCAAGAGAGTTATTCACAGGGAGAGTGCAAGCACAGATATATTACTTCATCAAGGTAAGTATTTACTTAATTCATTCAGAAACTCTCACAACATTTGTCAACATGTCCCTGAAATCTACTGTTGCTTTTTTCTGATATTCAATCAGTTATTTTAATTGTAGATGAAGTTTTTTTGTTTAATTTACCTGAAATGAGTTTGAGAAAACTTGTCTGTTGGACAGGAATACATGGACAACCAGTTGTATACATCATCGTGGCAAAAACCTTCTCAACTGGTGTAGGGGAGCCTTTAAGAAGCCTACTTCCCTGTATTTGCATACCTAAGAGTATGAAAGAGATAGTTGCTTAATTTACTTAAGGTTACCATCTGTTGCCAGTCTTCAAAATTTGACGTAAATACTCAATTGTCAGAATCCATCACATCAGATAATGACACACATGAAAGTTAATTTGAAGTGAATTCTCTTAGCTCAAAAGTATTTTGTTCAACTGCTAAAAGGCATCTGAGGGCTCAGTGATATTATGCTGATTATGCCTGCAGCATGTAAATAAGTTTGACACGGTCTTTCTCCATCATTGGTAATCACATTAAAACATGGGCTTCACAGCATCTGGTTTGTCTGTATTTCCAGTTAACTCTGCCTCCACTCACTGGCCTATATGCAGTCCTACAGGAACAGTTCATTCAAGGTGTATGTGCCCACTACCATGTCAGGGTACGAGATTGTCAACCTCAACGTGGGCGGGGTGATATATACGACCACTATCGCAACTTTAACAAAATATCCAGAGTCCATGCTGGGGGCCATGTTTAGTGGGAATATGCCAACGGCACACGATGACCGTGGAAACTATTTCATCGACAGGGATGGCAGCATGTTCAGACATATTTTGAATTTTTTACGTTCAGGACAATTGGATCTGCCAGAAGATTTTAAAGAACATAAGCAGCTTCAAAGAGAGGCAGACTTTTACCAGATTCAGCCCCTTTTAGATATTCTACGCAACAGACAGACCAATCAGGGAGGAGGTTACTTCCTAGAAATCAAGGAGAATTCTCAGACAAATAGGGTGACCCTGTTGGGTCCCAAGGGTCCTTCCTCTGGGGATCGACCAGATATCTTGCCAACTGGACTACGGAAACATAACAATGAATCGCGATGGGGATTTACACCTACTATGAGACTTTTATATGGGGCAATACTTCAGAAATCTGGCTGGACATTAGTCTGTGTTCACAGGGATAAATATTCTATTTGTGAAAAATGGTATTTGCCGGAATAGAAATATCTCAGCATTTATACTTTTTTATTGATTCAGTATATAGAATTTAATATGTTACATCCATTATTATTATTCCATTATCATTATTGGTGTGAAAGGACAGTTGATATTTGAAGAACTGTGATAAAATAACATTCCTCATCCAGAAGGACTTTTTTGTTTCCTCTACTGTGAAGTGGCTGGCATACATGAAACGGAAAGAAATGACTTTCACAAACAGCTTAACCTCACAGAGATTTAACTCTTATATGGGTCATTCTATGGAGAAATTAGATGGAAGAAATTTTTGGCATTTAATTGTTTAAAAGTTCAATGTTTTTGTCAGAAATATTCAGAAGTGCTTCCTTTAGAGACATTTCAATAAATTACAATTACCACAAGGCATGAAAAGATCTCCTGTTGACAGATAAAGAAAAACTGTATAATCAACAATCTTAGATCTTGAACCATTTGGAAAATCTGATGAAATACAGTTGTTTAAACACCTGAATCTCCATCTTTCTGGGAAGTGCTGTGAAATATTGCCAATGTACTGCCCTTTTACTAAGCTGGTTTATGCAGGCGTGGTGCTGGTAGCCTGGGTGGGTTTACTGAAAATAAATAGTACTCTCTCTCTCTCTCTCTCTCTCTCTCTCTCTCTCTCTCAGACATCTTCTGTTCTTTTACAAATTGTGCCAGAAGCTATTGTGTTTTTTTGTATATTTAAGTGCAGGAGAAAGATGGATTTATTTACCCAAAATAAAGCTTGGCTGTAGGTTTTAAGAAAAGAAATATAGATCTTTAAACACTTGACGAGTCTGCTTTGATGATCACCATTGGCCAGTTTACATATTTTCTTCATTGATAATTCTGTTTTGAATTATTATTTACTATTCCTATTTTTAATTTTATTATTTTTAAATGTTATTATTTAAATGTTTTGAGAAGAAAATTTACTAATGCAGCCTACAGTAAGTTGGAAGGTAGAATGTGTATTGAAGAAGAGCATATAAATTGTCTCAAATGAGGCTGGGTTATAGTTAAAGCATGGGTCTTTATGAAGACTTAGTGCAGCACACTTCATACCATATCTGTTTTTCCTCCTATATTGGTTAATTGGAACATATTAGGGCATGCTGAGAAAAAACTATTAGTCAAGCTCAGGATTTAGTTTTCTCTATGATTAGGTGTACTTGTATTTCCAGTCAGTCAGAACTAGCAAATTTATAGTCTGAAATCTCCTGGTGGTGAAAGGGGGAAAACTGGAAGAAAATATTCTTGATTTCTTTTTTCTCAAAGGAATGTAGCTCAAGTAGTGTATCTAATATATTTTCAGATTGAGTGATGTGATTTCTTGGGTTCATTTAAGATTGCAACTATTATTTTAGAAATATTTTGTGAAGGGTTTGGGGGCTAGAGGCTTCCTTTGCATGAAAGGCAGAGAATTTGGGTTCCTGTCTGTAAATATACATAAATATAAACCAAAAGTGTTCTCTTTAAGTGAAATTATTACTGAACAGGCCTTAAAGGCTTTTAACAAATGCTAGATCTTGAGGGTTGAGTCAATTTTCATTTGCTGTTTTGTTCTTCTGTGAAAGTGAACCATAAAGGAAAACAACCACCCAATAACCTTGCAGGTAAAACCAGCAGGATGTCAACGTAAACCTACTAGTTTGAAGGTATTAAGTCCATGATACATTTATCATGGGTTTTCTTCTTGCATTACACATTTCTTAGCCCATAGCACTTGAACTTTAAAACAAATTCTCTTAGATCCTAAATCATAATGAAGTAAATTGATTGTACCATAAACAGAAATTAACTTTGCATGTTTCCGCATTGAGCTCCAAGAAAACAAAACTTTACTTTATGTGCAAAAAAGAGAGCTTCTGATTTTTTTTCCTACTACTTTTTATTACTATTCCTTTTGTGAATCACACAGCTATTAGTCTCTAGTGGGGAACCTAGACTTAACATTTGCCACATTTAACATTTTTAGCGGATACAAAAGTATATTGACATTTTAAGAGGTGTCCTCAAGCAGTTTTAATGTGACGGTGAAAGCAGAATTTTCAACTTCCCCATGTAAAACAGGTCTATTTTTTTATTTTTAATGCCCTGTTCTCAGTAGTTTTTAGTTAAATGTAGAAGTTTATGTAAAGTTGTCAGTTTGCACCTTTCAAATTGTCACTCAAGGAGAGCAGGAGTCATGTTCACAGAGCAATTTACAGAACTCCAACACTATTTTGACACTTCCTGCATAAAACAGGTACATCTCTATCAAAGTGAAAAATCACTTTGAAGTTGTGTTACCCAGGTCCACTCCTAGGTGTTTAAGCAGATTCTAAACAAAGTGGCATGGGTTTCTAATAATAAACCTCAAACTGCCCTTCAGAGTGTAAACTATTTACTTTTTAACTACAAAATTAAGACCAGGAACATAAAGACTTTGTTTCAAAGTAAAATCATGTCTTAATTGGACTTCTCTCTTTAACCAATTCTTATTTGAAGTACTGGTATAGCATTTGTTAACATTGACATGTATGCTTACTTCTTATTCATAAAATTTGAGAAGTATGATAGGAATCCTGGATCTTGATTTAAACAAGGTTGCATGAATCTGTTGAAATTCCTATTATTAAGTGATGGTTGGTAAAAAAAAGTTAAATGTAAATAGGATTGATTATTTAAACCATGACAGCTTTTGCATGTTGATAGAGGCTGTTGCCCTATCAACAATGCATGAAGTCTTAATCCATGAATGAACAAGAGATGAGAGACAAGCTACCTGTATTTTGCATGTGGTTAGTAATAGTATTGTGTTTTGCATGTGGTTAGTAATTTTTACAGATCTGTTTACTCCCCAAAATGATCTGAGTATCTGCATCCAGTGATGACACTTTCTAGTTTGTCCCCAAATGTCTGTAGAAACACAACAGTTTTGCTATGTTATATTTGGCATGTATGATATGTAGAATGGGTAGTTTATAGATAATCTGCACGGTTTTAACATGGAAGTTGTTAAAAATATTGATATTTTAAAAAAATTCTCAGTCAACTGAAATGGCAACATTATTCAGTCTTTGTGCAGTTTAAAGGGAAACATCATCTGGCTATTGATCTCAAATTTGGTTCCTACATGGGACGTATTTGTTCACCATTATTATTAATCTGAATTAAGAGGAGGTGATCAATAGATAAAGTGAATGAAATCTAGTTCAGCTGAGAAAACTCCTCATTGTTGTTAGACAATAAAATTGTCAAATAGTCGGAAGCAATGTAGGTGCTTTGTTGTCTTACTAATATGCATATCCCATAATGTATCAATACCAAGCATTCAAGGGTGGCTGCTTCATGGTTTGCTTGACCCTCATAATTCAATGGGCATGTTTGCACAGGAATTTCTATTTCAAGCAACCCAAACAAAATGTGACTGAAGTTGAGACATCAATAGGAAGAAGTACTGGCTTTTTACTTGATAATCCCTGCTTTTTATTTCTGTTTATTTCTAAGGAATTGCATCATTAATGTGATATCAAGTTGCCAAGAATTTCCTGTTCTTAAAAAACTTATCAGAGGTAGAGTCAGAGATAATTGAAACTGTCTGTGGGTTGAAAGCAAGCTGAGAGGGAATAAGAATGAACAAGTTTAATGACTAGATGTTCCTTAGGAAGGAGGACTTAAAGATGAAAACAAAAAGGAGGAATTTCATCTTGCCCATGTGTGGGTAGGGGGAGTTGCTTAAAATGAACTTACATGTATTGAAGGGGAAAGAATTGAAACCATTGTTTGGGTTTTATTGTGTAATGGGAAGGAACAGGAATTGCCTTTTATTTGAAAATGAAAAGTCAGAAGGAAAGAATTAAATTTGAAAAAAACATTTTAGTGTATGATAGAGAGAGAAAATGGTATGGAAGTAACAACAAATATTTTTTGTGAATGGAATTAGTAGTAGGGTGGATGGATTCAATGTGATATGTGAGATGGAGTGAGTGAGTAGTAATTAACATGGCTGATATTAGATGTGTTAGAGGAAGGAATGAGGGGGTGGGCTGAAGTTCACTTGGGTGGTTTTCAATGTGTTAGAGGAAGGAGGGGTGTGTGGAAGTTAACATGGAAGGTACGTGAAGGGTTACAGGAAGGAAGGGAGCATTAGAATAAACAGGTATAAGTCTGAGTGTAAAGTTTATCCATTAGAGGTAATTTCCAGCATTGAGGTTTCAGGCAATTTTCTTTAATAGAAAATTGATTTTAAGTTTTTTGAGACCACCCAGTCCTCACCTTCAATGTACAGCTGGCATTTTAGCCTACAGCTGTATTGATTCCTGTATAAATTGATTGATTTAGACATTAGTAGTAATTTTTTTTTTTTTTTTTTTTCATATAATGCTGTGCCTTGTGCCAAAGTAATATATTTTTAAGTTAACAATTCAAAATAAAGTCAATATTGCCCATGAAACTATGCCACATCTTGATTATGAAAGGATATCATATAGAGATAAGGTTTATCATTAATTTATTTTATCAATGTATTAATTAATTTTCATTCATTCTTATTACTTTTATTTATTTTCATTCTTTCATTTATTTTATTTTTGATTTGTAAAAATTCTATTATTTTTCTTTAAGAGTTCTGCTAAAAAGGTTTTGGCAGGATTATTACAGAGGAATACAATGTGATGTCTGATCTCTTATGGTGCTGTAGTTTTCAAGTGAAGTGTTAAGGAACAACTTGGTGCATTGATTTCTGTTGAGAACGTCTCCTGGCGGTATTTCTGCCAAAGAGCTCCAATTAAACACATATGAGATTTATAATCAATGTCTTTCTTAGGAAAACTGCCAGACAACTGCTGGAGATGTCCATTAGTTGGTAGCATTTAAATGAGACCAATGAAAATATTCCCTTTAGGTCATGTTTTGAAGTTTTAAATAAGACTAAATGGAAATATTTTTCAAATACATCTATACCAGCTTTTGTTATTTTAGGTCCTGCCAGAGATTTCAAGAAGTGGATCCACAATTTTGTGTTCTGATATTTAATATAGTGTTATCCTTAGTCTATGTTAATTTTGTATTTCTAGGTCCTGTCTGAAAACTCCTAGATGAGGATGTCTGAGGACCTAGTTCACCTCAATATTGGAGGTGTTCACTTCACTACCACAAAATCCACTCTGACACGCTATGCAGATTCCATGCTGGGTGCCATGTTCAGTGGTGCCATGGCAACCACAGTGGATGAAAAGGGACATTATTTCATTGACAGAGATGGTGACATATTTCGCTACATCTTAAACTTTCTGCGATCATCTCGTTTAAGTTTGCCGGAGGGTTTCAAGGATTTGGATCTCCTAGCTGCTGAGGCTGATTTCTACCAAATTCAGCCTATGATCCAAGCTGTTAATGATTACAAGAAGAAACACCAGCAAGCTACATGCACTGCAGGGTGTTACTTGGAGGTAGTGGAGATCAGGACAGGGTCAACAGCAACTATGCCCACCAACAATGCTCGTGTTAAGACAATCATCTCTGGACGCAAAGATCTCATTATGTCACTGCCTCTCACAACAACAGAGGGACAGTTTGAAAAACTACAGAATTGCCAAGCTTCTGATTTCATAGAACTGGAATTAAATGGGAGCAATATTAGGTTAAAACTGGCTGAGCATCTACAGAACTCTGGATGGACGCTGACCAATGCTAACATGTCCTCCTCCTCTGGGTATGATACCAAGTCTATAGTGAGCAGCCTGATGATAGAGCACAGCTACAGGGACCGCTGGTTCTTTCCACAGGAAGAAAACATGGAGGATATGATGGACCAGTTTTCTCAGAATGATATGCAGCAATGATATGAAACTAACTAATACTTGTTATTTCTTGGTTATAGTGTTATGGATGGCTTGGAACAGGACTGCTTTGTCATGTATTTCAGAACTGAGAGAGGGGTCAATATTATTCAGTGATTATTAAGTTACATACATTTCTATTTATTTCTGCAACCAACACACAACCCTCTGTACCTATCACTGAATTTAGCTGTGTCAAAACCAGGTTCATTTTGTAATAATATTTTAAGTTTTTTTTACAAGTGTTAAATTGGATGTTTTCCTTAAGGTTGAAATTTTTTTAAGATGCAGAAAAAACATCATGCACCACAGACTATAGAGGAAGAGTAGGAATATATACATTTTGTTAATTTTCAATGTTTTTTCTCCAACTTTGCACAATTTACAAGTTGTCAGGGTACCACAACTTCTTACCTGTATTTTATAAATTGCTGTTATATCAGCATCAGTCCACTACTCCCAGATCCAAGGTCTCTCTTCCACAAATATCCAGAACACCTGTATAACATAACAGTCCTAGTACCCTCACCTGGAGACCAGACATTAAAATGAAGGCAAGGTGGGGATTAGTGTTATGAAATGATTATAATATCTGAGTGCATTAATGGTTAGAACGTTTAGATTAATCTTGGAGATTTTATGCCCTTTTTATTAGGATAGCATTTTAACCAGTTTCTTTTGTCAAAGTGTTTGTTCTTTTTTTTTTTTTTTCTTTTTTCACAAGAACAGCAAATATTGTTTTCTTTAAGTTTATTTGTTTAAGAATTTGTGCAGGTGTTTGAGAGATTTGAATATTATTTAATCATTGCCAATTCTTTGATCCTATACTGAAGATATGGTTTTGTACAGATTACATTTGATGTAGAGACAACTTTGACTGAGACCCTTTTTTTCTCCCGTTTTTCTCTTGTTCTTTATCAAAGCTCTTTTAAAGCTAAGTGGCTATTCAAATGTTCATGTAGACAAAACAACTTGAATGTTTCCAAAGTGCTTCAATTCAGAACCTGATATTCGACTGAAATTCTCTCCCGATTATGTGGATCTTGGAAAATGTCAAGTAGTAAAACCCCTTGAGATTGTTTACTTTCACACAGATGGAAGTATCTCTCTTTCTGTCATCATGGCTTCTTACTGATGGTTACCACTATCTGAATGAATGTAAGCAATCAATAAAAAAAAGTATCTACGGAAATGCAGATTGCCTCAGTTGTGACTCACAATAGCTGTGTCTGTCACATCCTCTGGAAAACAGCTACACCTTGTGTTTCTACAAAAAGGTTTGATATGCACTGGTTGTTTCATTTAACTGCCAAGTTCATATTTTATGATTTTTGGAAATACCAGACTCACTCACAAGTGCACTTCCCACAGTTTAACTGCAGTGATATTAACAATGTACATTTGTCACAACTTGGTACTCAATGTGCCCACTTTACTGTACAGAACATTAAACTTGACTTATATTTCCAAACAAATGTCAACTCATTTGATGTTTGGGCTTATAAAAAATAAAAAATTAACAGATTTTACAGCGTTAATGAATAAGTGAGTTTCCTTACGATTTTAACTTTCTTTTCAATTACTTAAAGATATATACACACATACTTAAAGATATATATACACATACATACATTTGATGTAAAACATATTAAATGAAAGTTATATTGAGAACACTTAAAGGGATAACATATCATTCTGGCAGGGAAAGTGCCATAAAATGCATTTCCGAGGTAAAAGCCTATGTTCCCATACTTTCCATGTTTAATGAATCAGTTCAGACATTCAAACTTTGTCAATTGTTTGCCAAGTTTTTTGTAATAATCTCTTCAGAGATAACGGAGGGTAGCTATCTATGAAGGTCCATGTGTCCCAAAGGCAAGCACAAATTTCAGAATAATTACAAAAACCACCATTTTGTGTATTGTTTACAATGTATTTAGTGTGGAATTTTGAACCTCTTTAGTGTGCACAAATGCCAAGGACTGTCTGATGAAAAAAACGTGAAGACAGTTATGATATTTACAGTGCATTTTATTTTTTGTTAATAAATCAGCAATGGAAAATTCAGTTGGGTGGAAATTAAAGCACTACAAAAAATGATATAACTTGACAAATAAAGGTCACAGCAATGCACTACTTGGAGTAATTGGTTAAGGAAATTTTATGATCATGTTTCTTTTCCTAAACAACATAACTAAATAAACATATATCCATAACATGAAGACAAGTGTCAAAATATGAAATTTAATAGTCAAATGTTATTGTGAATATGTATAAACTGATCCCTCTCTTCATTATACCCAGAAATTGCTTGAAAAATTATCTTGATGACACTTGCCAGAGTACTTTTAACAAGCAATGTTTATGTACAATCATTCACTTTCATATTCCTATCACAAATTATTTTCAGCATTTAGGTTTTTTCCTAAAAAAGACAAAAAAACTTGCTTTTAGTTTAAATAAAGTCCACTCATTTATACAACATTCTAATCTTTAACTTTCACAACCAACCCCATTTGAAATTTGTCAGGTACAATTCTTATAAAAGAATACTTTTACAGAAGCAAAAATATTGGCATTGCTTTCTGTACATGTATATACAAGGCAAGTTTATAACATTTCTGTATAATTCCAAATTATACACACTAAAAAGTTTAAGACATGCTATACAACTATTATAATTATATGGCTATCATTAATTTCAATGTCATCTTTCCTCCTCACATTAAATGTGAAATAGATAAAGCTTCCTACATGTTCCTAAGGCACTACATCATTTCCAAACTGGACTGATTCTCTACTTACCAAAGATCACAATCAATATTTGACCACTGTCCAAAAGCACATAGCATATTCTCTTGATTAACTTAAAACAATAACTACCCATTTAAAACAATTTCTTCAATTTTAAAGGTATCCTATCTGGGATTTTTGCACCAAATCAAATTCAATTTTTTCATCAGGAATATTTTGACCTGTAGCAGCACTTGGATTAGATGTTTTTGAGCAATTTAGTTCCAATAATTCTTACATTTAGACCACTACCTTTGTTTGAAACATATTACAAGACATGTACTGTGCAGAATCAGAAATGACCTTCATGTCACTTCATAACAGGATAATGCTCTCTGTTTTCATAGCCTTCTATCACGTATATATAGAAAATTTTACTTCTCATGTGAAATTGCAGGATGCCAACACTTACCCTTGCAAAGTTCCAAGGCTCAAAAGGAAATAATGACATCAAGTACATATCAGATAAACTTTTATTTGTAAAGTATTATCTTCTGAAAGGTCTAAAATGAGAAAAATTAGAATTTTTGCAGGAAAAATTATTTGGGGGGATATTTTCTAAAGTGTACAGGATACCTTTAATGAGAAAAGGATTCTTCTTATCAATGCTTGCAAAGATGTGAATTGGCTTTCCTTGCAACTATCACAAATAAAAACCTACAATGCAGTGACTTACACAACTGGTTTCTTTCCACATACAACTGTACAGACTTTAGAATTTGGTAACTTTATTTCAAATACAATGCAATGTGGCTACCTTATAAAAAAAACAAGACAAAAATACAATTAATAGTTCCTTGAATATATACCCCCCCCCCAAAAAAAAATGAAAAAAAAAAGTATATATATATATATATATATATATATATATATATATATATATATAATAGTTCAATGATAATGTATAATCTCATCAGGACTTTTCTTCCTCTTGCTGTGTCTGTGGTGCCCCCCTTCCCCAGCCTCGTGGTCTGGCCTGCTGTGGACTGATGAGGAGGGCTCATTGTGGGCCACCCTGTGATTATTCTGGAAGTTATACTCCGGGAAGTACAAATGGTGAAGATCCTCAAAGTACTTTTCTACAGTTTTACCTGCTATGCCCACAGGGGAGCCTGGCTGAAATCAGAAAATTATATAATATTATAATAAACATACAGCTTATAAATATTCTGGAATAAAAACAGCATGTCAAAATATGCATTGAGTCTGATACAGTATAGGTCCCTGTTACACATCTTGTTGATGTACCAATATATATATTGACACCTGATAAAAAATATTTCTAATAAAGCTCTCAGCAGTCATGTTTTCCTTCTTTTAAACTGAACCAAAAGATGGGAGTCTGACATGCCTGTTCATTGATGTCATGCATAATTAATCAGGTAAGGGGTTGATCCATTGTTAGTACATAAAACGGGAACAATACCAGAGGAAGACCCCTAGAGTTCAGTTGGAAGAAGATAGTCAATGTAAGTAACATATGTTTTAAAGTACAGTTAAAATTCTTGCAGATTTGTAAGTGTAACTGTAACAAAGCCATATGAACTAATCAAAGAGCTATTAATTTTATAACCTTTTTTAGGTATTTCTTACTCTCCAGTAAATACAGACAACAGCCAAACCTGGCCGTCATTTTTTGTTTACTTTAACTACCCCTTACTGCCAAATAGACTTTGAGAGTAGGTATAAGTCACTTCACCAAGTGAGAAAACTTAACCATATTAAATTCACTTTAAATGTCATGTGTAGAAAAAAATTAAAATATTCAACAATTAAGAATTTAAGAATGAGCAAACATTTGCTTTCCCATAAACCCATCAAATTTTTAATATGCATTTCTGTGTAGTGGCAAAATAAAACTTCATAGGAATATACCACTTGGTAAATGCACTAGTTGCCCAAATCCATGGTAATACAAAACAATCAAAACTTCAAGAGATTTAGATAATTACAGATTACAGTCAAAGTCACAATATTTACACATTTATATATGAAAGTACCGGTTAACAGATAACAGACAAGATACTGCACAGCTTAATTTCCCCAAGGTCACTTTATATCTTGGTGGAATTTGTTCTGTCCTCTCTGCACCCTGGCTTCAAGTTAAAGGACTCCCCTGTGTACTATCACAGGTGAGAGCAGGGGCAGATCCAGAGATATTTTCTGACAGTCTTCCAAATTATCTTTGTTGATCCATCCTCCATTTTCCACCGTCTTCTTAAGCAAAAAATTTATACTTGTCAAAGTAAACTTCAAAATCTGACTGTCTTCCGGGAGGCCCAGAAGAGGGTCTCAATCTGCCCCTAGAGAGGACATGTTTTATATGCTAATTTCCAATACTTTCAAATTCTTCATTGTGTCATGAAATAACCATCTGTTAACACAGCTTAAAACTATATGCCCTCATCTTGGTATAGTATTGTTATCTCACCTTCATCAAAACATACTGTTGATTATTAAGGAAAATTAACATAGGCTGTGTTCAGAACAGAAGTTATCATACTAGCAAGTTCAGAATAGAAGTTATCATACTAGCAAGATCAATCTATCTCAGCGGGGTTCTGGTTTAGGTGCAGTCAATGTAATCAGCTTGATTGTCTGGCACGCCCCCTAATGAAACAACATGAACAACATCATGGATCACAAAGTTTTCCTGACTTTAAGTTACAAGCATGCTTGCAAGTGCGCACCAAATTTGAGTCATGGCTCAGATCACGGCTCAACTTGGTTATGAACAGAGCCATAGTCAATGTGATAGAAGAAACATATGGTTTTAATTTCCAATTGAATTTAATTGATATTTGACATGTTGCATGCAATTGTTATAGTACAATACCAAACAGAGGGGTAACTTTCCTAAACACCTGTGCTGCAGAAGAGAACAACAATATAGTAGACTGTCTAAAGTTCCATTTAATGCCAAGGTCCAGTATTGCCCCACCTCCATTAATCTAATATAGAGAAAGCTATTAATGAATTCACAGCCTTTGAAAGTACAGCTTTATTGGGCTTATAGAATGTTTGCTATACCACAACATTTGTTTAATTTTCAGACCAATGAATCAATATTGGATGAAAAACGTACTACTCCTGATTACAAAAACACCTGACTCTACATGTTTGGTTTAATAATAATTACAATAAAAAATACAAGGCATATATTTAAAGCCTTAAGTGGCTCAGGCAACTGAAAAAAGCCACATGTAGAGACCACTTTATTTTAAATTTACTTGGCCAAAGTAACACTTACCATAGATCTTGATAATAGTTCCACAAACCCATTAAATGCTAAGTGGGTCAACTTGAAAAGGACTTCCCATTGTTTGTCACATCTATCACATAAGTTAATATATGCTCTGGTGTCAAGGAAAATGCATGTTCTGTTGGTGAATGTTTTAGGGAAGACACAGATGTGAGGCTCAAGAAGAAAATGAACTTAACAGGTAGTGGCAACAGCAGCTTCTCCTCAAGCCCACCATCTCTGCCTCCAATTTCTGACAAAGAAAGCCATGGCATGGTGCTCTATGTGGTAGTTTTCCTGTGCACCTACTCACTGGCCATTCTATTCCTCATTGGGTATAACATACGCAAGGACAAACAACACCATGAAGAAGACTATGTTAAAGAGTTCCTGGACCTCCAGCAGATAGAATTAAGGAGGAGAAAGTTTCTTAAGGAGCAGTATCAACTCACTTCAGAAG